TTCACATGCCACTCATAAAATGGGCAACAATGTCATGCAGAAAAAATTATTGCGCTAGCTCACGTGGTTGCAGAGCTACCGGGATTTTAAAAGAGTTATGCAAAACAGAGCGTGCCCGCTCCGACCGGCTTTAAAGGGTTAATGCTGTGGTTCCGTGTGTTGTCTGCATACCTGCTCAGGCTGGATGCCGCGGCCCTGTGACAGCTCATCCAGTGCGCTGAGAAGAGCACAGGCACAAGAGACGGAGGAGTAACATGCCTCGATGCCTCCTTTCATACAAGCCTCTGTCATCCCATCCATCACTCTGCCACGGGAAGCAGAAACAAACAGCTCAGTATAGGATTGATCGCCAGTATCAAATGACATGAGCGAACACATTACTTTGATTTCTACTTTAATTTGGACCGAGTGACGATTGAAACAATGTGCAGCAAAACAAAGAGTACGGACAAACATCCCTGGGTGTCAGATTTCAGATTGTTAAATTTCAGAAACACCAAGTGAACAAAGTTAGGAGTTACTAACAGTCTGAGCAGGTCCAGGTGGGACTTCCTCTTTGAGAATGATCGCTTCCTGGTCTCAGGCTCAGCCATGCAGGGACCGGCGAGGTCATACAGACGCTGGGGGCTGCCCAGAATCTGCCACAGACGAAAGCATTAAAGCTTTTGCTGACATGGTTCTAAAAACATATGCAGGCACGTTATCCCAAATGTCAAATTGTTACTGGACCCCTTCGAGTACATGATCCTCGGAGGTACTTGTGAAAGCTTTGCTGAATAAAGATTAGCAAAAGGCTGCCTGTCAGTGAAAAATGATATTATAAACGTAGAGAAATGCGTGTCTTCATCCCACCTCCTTCATGATGCGGATGGCCTCGGTGCGGTGCTGAGGAGGAGGGTAGAGGAGGATCCTGTGGTAGAGCGACTGGAGCACCGGTTTCATCGACTCGACGCAGCTCACCAGACGCACCAGCTCTGCTGCAATGTAGCAAACTGTGCGCACTACTGGTGCAATCCTGGCAGGGGCGCTAGAGGAGCAGCCAGAACCTCTGCCCTGATCGGACAGTCCTCCGCAGGAGGAGTCCACCTCCTGGCCCATTCCTGGGAGAACAAAACAAAGAGGGGCATGAAGCTGAACCCACGAAATCAAGCTGATAGAAAGATTCCTCCTATGAGAACTCATGTCTCCTTAAACAAGCTGCAGCAGTGAGTGGAAACCAACACTTTTCACACTGTTAGCTTCAGTCGTGATCTTCACAGCTGCATCAGGCTCCATTTATGAGCGATCAGTAATTAGATATTGATTTTCCCCCCTTTCTTGGCGCTTGAATCCCTGATAGAGATTAATTTCAACTGATATTCGCTTTCAAATTGTTGCAAAAAAACAGACAAACTGACCGCCTCCTACAGTGGAGTCTTTAGTAAACTCAGTTACCTAAACTGAGTCTCTCTGAGAGGCGGTCTCGGTCTGATGCCGCTGAGTAGCCGTGGTGGGAAGCAATAGTTTTGTCATTGACGGGATTGCCCATGATTGCCACCAGGGATGGGCACAGCTGCTTCCTGGGAAGAG